CTATTAGTTGCGCCATAGGCTCTCTATCTATTAGTTGCGCCACAGGTTCTCTATTTATTACTTGCGTCATAGGTTGCACTAAATACTGGGGAAAATGACTAAAGTCAAGGAACGAAACAAGTTTATTGAACGAAACTCAGAAGCTGGTAAGGCTTCTGACCCAGACTCCCAGGCATCTTCCACCTTTAGTGCCACTTCACACGCCTGCAAATAGTTTACAAATGCTTTATTGACAGAATTTCAAAATGATTTTAAATTAGATAGTAAATTAGAATTCCAATTCAAACTGGTAATTGATTTATGACGTAGAAACTTTTAATTTTAAAGGAAATTGCTCAGCGATCGGAAACTAGGTTCCTTACTGAATGAGAACACGAACACTCATGGACGCGTACCGTGATCTCGCCGTGGGCCATCAGCGCAAAGATCGTGGGCCTCCCTGCAGATCTCAGCACCTCCCAAAGCCAACCGCCAAGACAGGTTTATCATCCACGTCACCACCGGCACGTGCTGCTCGTCGTGGGAGTAGCGAACGTCTCCGTGGGAGTAGGAATAACTCAGGAGACACGGCGAAGATGTACGCATCAGGTGAAATGGGCCCAGAGAACAAGGTGGTCGGGTTACGGTGGATACTAACTGAAGATACAAAAAGGAAGATGAGACCAAAATGGACAGGTCTGCACCGGATGGGATCTGAAGTTCTACTGACTGTTGATTCATTGCCGCTAGCTAGCCGTGCGGTTTGGCTGACTATGATTCGTGACTACAAGCAAATATTGCAGTCACGGTACAGTAATAATTTGGAATTCTAATTTATTACATGAGGTGCCATTTCTTAATCTAAGATCCTTAAATTGTAGAACAATTTTGTACATAGGTTCTCTATCTATTAGTTGCGCCACAGGTTCTATATTAGTTGCGCCACAGGTTCTCTATCTATTAGTTGCACCACAGGTTCTTTAGCTATTAGTTGCGCCACAGGTTCTCTATCTATTAGTTGCGCCACAGGTTCTCTATCTATTAGTTGCGCCACAGGTTCTCCATCTATTAGTTGCCCCACAGGTTCTCTATCTATTAGTTGCGCCACAGGTTCTCTATCTATTATTTGCGCCATAGGTTCTCTATCTATTAATTGCGCCACAGGTTCTCTATTTATTAGTTGCATCATAGGTTCTCTATCTATTAGTTGCGCCACATGTTCTCTATCTATTAGTTGCGCCATAGGTTTTCTTGTCAGGTGACAATATTGATACCATTTGTACCTGAATATTTCCTCATTAATATCTTCCTTGTTGAAAGATAATTTTCTTAACTTCGGCACGTTCATAAACATTTCCTTGTGTTTGCTTTCCCTGTTTATTAAGTCACGCCCTTGGTGACGTCAAATAGCGAAGCTATAAAAGCTCTGTCTCAAGCGATTAACTTCAGTCATGGGCGAGGACCGCTACGGTATACCCCTGCTCCTGTCCATGTCAAACAGGACAGTGAGGCTAGCTCAACGTCTGAGTGGAGAACGCTCCGCGGATACACTCTAGACTCATTCATTTATTCATTTCAACTGGACGCTGAAGACATCAGTGTTAAAGCTCCAACTTATAACTTAGATTATCCTAAACTGTAAGCCGAACTATAATCCTAAAAGTATATTATATATTCGTTTACGCTGTTCCTCTATATCCTCGGATCCCGCTACGACCAAACCACCCTCAGATCAAACTTAATTACGATTCAATAACGCATCGTCCACTACCAAATAATAACCTGTTACACTCTATTAGTTGCGCCATAGGTTCTCTATCTATTAGTTGCGTCACAGGTTCTCTATCTATTAGTTGCGCCCTATAGGTTCTCTATCTATTAGTTGCGCCTCTATCTCTAGTCTCTATCTATTAGTGAAAGATTATATGCAATTTCTATTTCTATTATTTACTTGATATGTTTGTCGTTTATCGGGCTCAAATCGTGGCCGCCCGTCGGTAGCACAGAGACAATACTCTATTCCAATTATTTTTTTTTGTCTATAATACGAGTGTTTGAAATATGTTATCCTCGCTGGGGAATTTATTTATTCAATTTTGACTAAAAACTCTGTCATAATGTTTCATGCTAAATCCGCGACTTCGAAGCTTCAGGTCACTACTATTATTTTTCTATATATATTTCATTATCAACTCATATTTTTGTAAGTGCACTCATAAACATTTGCTTATTTTTTGCTTGTTCATACAAATTTGAATAACTGTGTGTCAATTAAAAAGTATCAAGTTCTATTAAATCATGACATTAGTGTAGGTTAAGAAGTGATGTAATCCGCTTTGTTCAATTCCGCATCTTCATCCCCCACACGCTGTATTAATTCACTTTAACCACACTCTGAATTAATAGAGCATGCACGATTCAGAGCATTCACGAGACTAAGTGTCCGTGAACATTTCATAAATCATTAACATTTTTTCCACCCGATTATTAACTGCATGAAATTGTATCGATAATTCAGGACCCGAAACAAACGTTATTTTTTAATTTTTCTTCAAAAAAATGTTTTTATAAATTTTTGGCCAAAATACGCTCGTTTGCATCTTCTTACAGCGAAAGAGCTTCGTATAAATATACGTGAATGAATTAAGACTTGTGAAGATTAAAAAAACACATCGTTCCGAAAAGTCAGACGAACGATAATAGTGAAGAACTTTTTCTACAAAGCCGACCTTTCAATAGCCAAAGCATTTTCAGGAAGCCCTGCAGCTTAGACTGACATCAAACACGCCTTTGTTTTGCCAGCTTCAAACAACGGCCGCCCAAACAACAACTCCAAAAAAATGATGCGGAGGGCGCCGAGACTGCGCGCCTGATACTGGCAATTCGGTTAACGGAACGGCAGGCTGGGGCGGCGGGTGTTTCTGCTCTGCATTGGCAAGGCCTACATTTGCTTGTAACTTTAGCCCCACGTCTACTCGGGTGAATGGGATCTAAGGAGGGAGAGGAACTAAGTTACTGAAGGCTGGTGATGGTAGGTGGTGGTAGGTTAGTGGGACTAGGTTGCTGAAGGTTGGTGACGGTAGGTTGGTGGGACTAGGTTGCTGAAGGTTGGTGATGGTAGGTTAGTGGGAGTAGGTTACTGAAGGTTGGTGATGGTAGGTGGTAGGTTAGTGGGGCTAGGTTGCTGAAGGTTGGTGATGGTTGGTGGTAGGTTAGTGGGACTAGGTTGCTGAAGGCTGGTGATGGTAGGTAGTAGGCTAGTGGGACTAGGTTGCTGAAGGTTGGTGATGGTAGGTGGTAGTTTAGTGGGACTAGGTTGCTGAGCGCTAGTGCGGAATAATGGGACCAGGTTGCTAAGCACTGTGGTAAGATAGTGTGACAAGATTGCTGAATGTTGGTGAGGGAGTGGGACCAGGTTGATGAACATAGGGTAGGTCGGTGGGACCAGCAAGTTGCTGAACACTGCGGTAAAATAGTGGGACAAAATTGCTGAATGCCAGTGAGGGTATGAGATAAGGTTTCTAATTCTGGTGAGGAAGTGACACTACGTTGATGTACGGTAGGATAATATCAGAGGACTACGTTGCCGAACGCTAGGGTGAAAGAGCGGGATAAGGTAGCTAAATACTGTGCAGGGAGTGGTACTAGGTTACTGAAGGCAAGGATAAGATTGCCAGTCTATGTTACTAAATATTATGTGTATGATAGCGGGACTAGGTTGCTAAACGCTGTTCAGGGATTGTGACTTGGTGGCTGAACGTTTGGGTAAGATAGTGGGAATAGTTCCAAAAATCTAGTATGTCCAGGTCGCATAAGCATTTAGGATGTAAAGCATATTATGGCATTCCAAAACGATTTAATACTATCAATGATCGTTTTTTATGTACCACATTTACATATTCATGTAATGTAAATTTCTCTCATATTAGATGCCAATATTAGAACGTTTATAGTGCGTTTAGCGATGAAGCGGAGCAGCAATTTTAGCAGCAGCGGCTCTGGACCAGCAACTTTATCTTGCATATACTGTACTCTTCCTAATTTGTTTCCAGCAGATGTAAGACTTCGCGGGGGAAAAGCTGCAAGTTTTTTAATATTTTCCGCAATTGAGTGAGTTTAGAAAAAGTTAGAGGCCGGGCCTCGCAATTCACGCAAGAACTCTTGCCGAGCTGATGAGTTCATATAGAGTTATTTGTCTTGGCTGTGCCGCAACCTCTGTAATAAATCCTGTTTCTTCTTGCGCCAACATTTTAATATGAACCCACGATGCCTGCTGTACGTATTTTTACCGGGCTCAAGGTGAGCCTGTGTTCTTGATTTTAATTTAGTAAGAAAGTAAACTGTCCGTTTTTTACTTATTGGCGTTTTTTCTTATACGAATTATGTTTAATCGAGGATGGAACTAACAAGGTAAAGCAAGTCTTCCAGAGGTTCTTGCATTAACACGTTAAAAATTTATTGACTTTTCATTTGCCTTTATTGTGCACTAGCAAAATGAGTCAAATTTAGAACAGCTTGTCTCGTTTACAGATAACTATACTAATTACAGCCCCAAAGTGAGAGTGTCCTGGGATTTTTATCCCTTCAAACACCTCCTAAAATGAAGAAAAATTTTTCTTACGATCACCTAATTTATTTTCGGTGATGCTCATGGACAAGCAACCTTGTCAAGCAACAAAAACAAAAAACAAGCTACAAAAAAGGCTTATGGACAAGCAACCTTGATACAATTACTGCCAAGAAAATTTTCCAAAGTTAAAATAAATTGAAACAGTTTTATCTTCTGAGTCACTTATTTTAGATAAAATTCAGCTCCACATTTCAGTTTAGGACGTTTTCACTATATTTCGCACTACCTTTACATCAATTTCTTGTCTGGATCCACGATCCGGGCCATAAGTTTCTGAAAGGTTATGAGGAAACCGTTCCCGGTATTGTCACCTGACGCTCCATTTCTCGCTGATTTGAATTTGCATTTAGTGAAGCATCGTCGCTGGTCCCGAAGGGACATCATCCGAGCGATGGATCCAGCCGTCGTATCCTTCCCTTTTATCCTGCCCTCGAATTCTGCTCCTCGCATCCTGCCCTCGTATTCTTCCCTCGTATCCTGCACTCTTATTCTGCCCTTGTATCCTGCCCCTCGTATTCTGCCCTTGTATCCTGCCCTCGTATCCTGCCCTTGTATTCTGCCCTCGTATCCTGCCCTTGTATCCTTCCCTCGTATCCTGCCCTCGTATCCTGCCCTCGTATCCTGCCCTCGTATTCTGCCCTCGTATCCTGCCCTTGTATCCTGCCCTCGTATCCTTCCCTCGTATCCTGCCCTCGTATCCTGCCCTCGTATTCTGCCCTCGTATCCTGCCCTTGTATCCTGCCCTCGTATCCTTCCCTCGTATCCTGCCATTCTGCCCTCGTATCCTGCCCTTGTATCCTGCCCTCGTATCCTTCCCTCGTATCCTGCCCTCGTATCCTGCCCTCGTATTCTGCCCTTGTATCCTGCCCTTGTCTCCTTCCCTCGTAACCTGCCCTCGTATCCTGCCCTCGTATCCTGCCCTCGTATCAATGCTACAGCGAGCGCTATTTTCCCAGACTTGTGACTCGAGAAAATGTCTCATTTGTGATGGTCATTTAAGGGCAAATGGATGTTGGACAGAACGAGTTGTCATGAATAAATTACCTTCAACGAAAGGGAAAGCATCGCTGACTCTCTCAAAGAATTTTTTCGTAAATCATACGACCTAAATTCTGTGTTTGCGGGCTAATGAAGGCTTAATAGAGCCTCGCTGTTAGCTTGGCAATGACGCTATTTCCTCTCGAGATAATAGCTTTGTACCCTCACAATGCCCAAACAATTCAATGGTGAAACCTGCAATTTCAACGTGCAACAAGTAGTAAACGTGTTTCGACACACATTTGAGTACAAATAAATAATTCTAAGCGCACGAATATGAATTACTTTAACCTGAAAGTCCGTTATATTAACTTAATCCAAATAAATTAAGTCCAGTTTTCAAAAACATTGTCTTTGGCGTCGGTTAAACTGTTGTTTTCAATTAAAACGATATTGTTGTATTTGAACGGACCGATTTCGTCCAAATTAATTCTAAATTTTTCTCATTCAATCTTACTTATATTGAAATTGCACTAAATGTATTTATTTGTTTTGTTTAAAATCGGAGCATTCGATCTCCTTTTGCAGATTTTACAGAATTTTAGTTTTCGAATTTGGTAAAGTTTTACTATTAATACTAACTGTATTTAATGAAAATACACGCATTAACAACATGACAATTATTTAGTTAAGAAAATGAAGTCAATTCCAGTCATATGCAACAAATTATTTCCACGCTGAGATACGCAGTTAAAAACTCAACTTTGAAATCACTATTCACAGTAGATCACTGCTACTCAAAGGATCATCGGTAAAAAAAACCTTCTACCATCTATAATTGATTATTGCTCATTAATCATCGATTAATTATCAATCATTTATCATAGATCATCGATCGCGGACAAATGATCATTGAACATTCATCATTAGAAATTTAAAAGCGAAGAAAACACCACAAAAATTCAGTATAGCTCTATTGAAAACGTTTCGGAGACCAGCTCCATCGTCAGTTCGATAAATCTAGAACACAAATAAAGTCAGAAAATTTATAAAGTTCATCATTGATCATTCATTATAGATAATTGATCATTGATCATTCATCATTGATTCATGGATTCATTGGTTGGATGATTCATGTGCGGAAGTGATCCGATGGACTGGGGATGGAGGCTTCTTGTCCAGCTCCGGAGATTCAAACATCGGATGAAATTAAGTGTTCGATAGGAATGTTTTTTGGCTACCGTCTCGAGTGACTTGCTCGAGTCAGGCTGGTTAAGGTTCGCGAGTGTGTATTTTTAACAGTAAGCTTCTAATTATGAGATTGAATAAACATAATTTGCAATATTAAAACTTGCTCTGTAGGTTAAAGAGATTATGAGCATAAATTTTTAGGTCGTTTACTGTAGTTAATATTATGTAAGGAATGTCATGCGCTAATTTAGATGCATTTCTAATGAGACATTATTGTGAGTATTTCTAATGAGACGATTTCTAATGAGACATTATTGTGAGTATTTCTAATGAGACATTATTGCCAGCAGAATAACTGCGAGGTGAAAGTTAGACCTACAATCTATGCTTGAAGGCTGTTTGGGATGAGAATCATATTCATTTAAGAACAATTATAAATAGTGAGAAACGGTTTAAACAAATTTTTCTTTCATGTCTTTCATCACGAATGGCTGGTATTTACATTTTAAAGTATGAGCGCTTTCTAATAACCCATAATAGATGTGTTTCAAAACAATAAGTGAAGAGAAGAAATGGTGCAATTATCATTCACATATGTTACGATATTATGGATTCACTCATGCTAACTTTTCATGGCCAATGTATGAGACCTCGGCTCGAAAAACTCGATTGAGATTAACAATTACAGAACAATACAATTTCCAAATTTTCGTTGCAATACGCAAAAATTATTTCACTAGTTTATTAGAGGTAATAAATTAAGAAGTTTACGATGTACAGGAGCTCGTATATCTCATTCATACGTTAAAAATTACAGGTAATTTTAACCGTACACGTTAACAAAACTGCGTACAGGTTAAGTCGGTCAGAGGTTTCGCCCCCGGGGGAAGAGAAAGACCACAGTACGAAAAGAAAAATGAATATGCCTCATTGTCAAAACAGTGACATGCATTTTCTTACCCTCAACAGAGAGCAGATGTAGCACTGACACTTCCTTTTACAGGTTCAAAATAGGCCCGTATGACCCACACAAGGGCAACAATTGTATCGCAATTTGGACAATGTTTCACTCATTTTTAGCGCATTTTCTCATTTATGGAAGAAATGCACTCTTGTGCTCGCCATGTCCGTCTGTCTGTCTATCCGTCCGTCTGTCCGTCCGTCCGTGACCTCAAGTTTTCGTCGACGAGAAAATGCGCTCTCTGTCACTCACTGCAGTGAGTACTGAGTTATATTTTTTTGATTGTGAAGTTCCACCATAACCTGAGCTGTCGTGCAACTGAGGCTGAATTGGATACTCAAACGTTGTGTGCTCTACAAACACAAGCGAAATTTGACTGGTGAAATATATGCTGGACAAATTGTTGGAGTTCGTATTCCTGGTTACAAGGCCGGATTAATCAACAGCTACATCGTCAGTTAGTTGGGTCAGGTGTGTCATTTTAAGGTATTACGTTAATAGATTTTCTTATTTATGGGACCATTTTTATTTTGTGCCCATTCATTACTTGGTAAAAACTTTTTCTTCTGTCTAACATCGTTGGTTAATAACGTGAGTCACTATAGCCAATGGTGAGTTACATTCGCTTGGCACGATATTAAATTGGTGAGTTATATTCACTTTATTATATATTATAAAGGTTTTATTCAGAGTTGACTTATATTCATTTTATATAAATTCCAGTAAAACTTCTCATACTGCTATTGTACTTTACTATTGTGAATTTTGTTGACCTATCATTTTTTGCTGACCTATTACTGAATTTCGTTGTCCTCTTAAATTGTTAAGTTTATTCACACATGTTCTTGTACGAGATACGTCCACTGATTCATGATCACACGTAATGGTTCTTTACAGATGTAATGAGTCCGAACTTAATTGCTACCGTGAAGGAAGATAAATTTCTGTGAACAATCAGATTTTCTTCGTTCAATAAATAATGAAGGTAGAACTACAGGCTCTTTATCCGACGACGTCGTCAGGTGATCTGGGAACATATATAAAGTATATGTATGAGCTCTATTTATATATTTTTTAACTAGGTTTTTTTATCTTATTTGCCTCACGTCTATAAGAGATTTTATTTCGAATATCGAACAAATGTCGAAATTTCGAATCTGGAATAAATATCGAAATTACGAATACCGAACAAATATCGATAATTTCGATCAAATATCGAAATTACAACTATCGAACAAATATATCGAAATTACGAATATCGAACCTATATCGAAATTTCGAATATCAAACAAATATCGAAATTTCGAATTTCGAACATCGAAATTACGAATTTCGAACAAATATCGAATAACAAATATCGAACAAATATGTAAATTACAAATATCGAACAAATATAGATATTACGAATATCAAGCAAATATCGAAATTACGAATATCAAGCGCATATCGAAATTACGAATGGTGAACAAATATCGAAGTTTCGAACTTCGAACATATATCGAAATTTCGAATATCGATCAAATATCGAACAAATATCAAAATTACGAATATCGAACAAATGTCGAAATTTCTATTATCAAACAACATATATCGAAATTAAGAATAGCTATCATCTATTCGAACAAGTATCGAATAGATGTTAAAATTCTCGTAATTGATTGATTAGTTAGTTTTACTAATATACGCATTGTGCATTAGTTTCACTCAAATTTAAATTTAACTACCACATTTGAACTAGTATATTTATAACCAATTAATCTGGAACAATGTGATAAGGATTCATTTCTTAGTCGGAATGCAGAACGTGAAAGAAATGCTACTCATGATCGCTTGAATCGAATCTCGTTTAAAATATTGCTAATTCGTAATCTTAATCAAAATCTTCTGAAAAATACTGTTTCATTTGGGACAGCATCTCAGTTTTAAACTTTAGTGAATTTGTTTCATATTCAATTCGATGAAAATGGCCACAAATAAATAAGATGCTTCAAAATTTGTCGGAGCGGGTAATTAAGTTAAAAGTTATTATTAAAAAGTCAGAGAGGATACAAAATAATAATACATAAATAATAACAGATCTCTAATAGATATATACATTCTAAGATTCTAATTTAGCACGAAAACCACCATATGACAATATCAACCTTGAAGTTGGAAAAAAATTACGCATTTCTTTTCGTTATAAAATAGAGTCAGCTAATTAACTTACTATTTGTTGTGAACAAAATTTCGCTAAAATAAATTGCAATTTCATATCAACCGAGCAATCAGTAACAAATTTTCAATAATTTCTCGGTCAGATGAATTAAATTTTAATCCTCTTATATATAGAGGTAACAAAATTATCTCCACATTAACCCCAACTCAAGTTTTGAATTACTACTACAAATAAATATAATAAAATCGCAATTCGATAAAAATTTCACGGATTGACTATCGATGAATTTTTAAAAATTTTCTATGGGAGAGACTTTTTTTACTTCAATACCCGAAAATTTGTTTGCAATTTTTTTAATTATGTTGGCTACACCTAATGATATGCCATTTGTAAAAATGCATTTTCATTTAAAATAAGCAAATAAGAAACTTTTAAATTTAAAGTTTTACCTTTTACTATTAAATTATCTACAATTTAAGTTGCGAGTATTTAACAGTTACGAGCTCCTATACATTTTCAGAATCAGTGGATATTTTTATGCTAGTAGCTCAATCGGCACTTAAAAAGCGTATTCATTTGCCTTGCCAGATGTGCACATTCCCACCAAACTGATATTTACTTGAACGCATAGCACATATTGCCTAGACTCAGACAATGCATTCGCTTCGAAAAATCC